GAGGCTGGAGGCGGCTGGCGCGGGACCGGTTCGGATTTGAGGCCCTGCTGGGGCTGCCTGTGGGGCTCTGTTCTGGGCCGACGCGGGGCCACCAGCGCTGTCGGAGCCCCGGCGCGGCCGCGTAACGTGCCCCCTTTGCTGTGTTTCAGAGCAAGGAGCCCAGGGGCAGCCTGGAGGCAGGGAGCCATGAAAACCACAACAGTGCAGAGACGGTCTCGGCCAGCCTGGAGGTGAGTGGACGACGGCCCCGTGGGCCCACTGCTTGCCCCTCCCGTGGGGGTCTAAAGCCGGGCTGGGGAGACTTTTTTGGGTGGGGGGGGCACTGACCCACAGAAAAATCAGTCGGGGCCGCACAAAAGTGAGACGCAACCCCCCCCCCTCGCTGATGTGGCCCCTGAGGGAGGAGGAGACAGGCACTCCCCGCATTCCCCTCACACACCAGAGCCCGGGCGGGAACGGCCTAGTCGATTTTGCGGGCTCCAGCCCTGTGGGGGAGTCGTGGGAGGGGCTGGAGCGCCGGAGTGGGCTCCCCAATGCAGGGGGATGGGGCTGAGCCTCGGGCCAAATCCAGGCAAGGTGGGGGCCGCGTCTGGCCCCCAGGCCGGAGGTTCCCCACCCTGATCTAAAGGACTATTAGGAAAGGAAAGGAAAGGCTGAGATCACATTACCTGCTTTCACTAGACCCCTCACTGGGCCCAAACTCTGGGGCAAACCCACCACACGCCCCAAGCACGCTCCTCTCCCGGCTCTCCCCGCCCACAGGCCATCCCGGAGCCCGACGCCCTCTCTGAGGAAGAGCCCCCGGAGGAGCCCCCGTTGGTCCCCAAGCCAGCCCTGCCGGCCCAGCAGAGGGAGACGGAACAGGAGCAGGGCCCGGAGCCAGCCCCGGCGGAGAGCACGGAGCCTCCCAAAGCCCTGAGCAGCGAGGAGGAGGAGGAGGAGGAGGAGGAGGCCGGGCATTAGGGATACCGAATGATGAAAAAATCTTCCCTCCTCTTGTGTCTCCCTCCTCTAAAAATATGCCAGTGTTTTGGTCTCCATTCTCCACAAGAGCTACGTCTAGACTGGCATGATTTTCCACACATGCTTTTAACGGAAAAGTTTTCCGTTAAAAGCATTTGCGGAAAAGAGCGTCTAGATTGGCACGGACACTTTTCTGCAAAAGCACTTTTTGCAGAA